CCTAAAGAGGGTGGTTGCTGTTGAGAGAGACAATACCCGCTTCCAATATTTGGCTTAGGCATTGTGTATGTTAGTTAGTTAACACAGGTTTCCTCATTTGCTACCTATGTATATTCATGTGTCAGAGACCAGACATCCCATCACCTGCTGCGGATCTCATGTCCTTTTACTCGCTAGTAAATGTATGTATGTGCCGTCAGATAAAGAAAGGCACGTGATTGTGAACTCAAGTAACCAAGGCTGATAAAATTGCGCCTGCAAAATATTTCGAAATTGCATCCACACGGCAGAAACCATCCAGTTTGACACTGCTTTAACTACCGTAACTCAACATCATGATAGTCTGGGATTTGTCATTTTGTGAGATATTTAACCACCCGATGTGATGCACCAACACTTCTCGCTGCCCATTTTTGATTCCCTTTTTGCCTAAATTTGCCCATTTTTCTTTGGTTCTTCGGTGCGTTGGGAGTATTTATGGGCTGCTTTCGGATGAAAAAATTGCACCCAAAATCAACCTGATTTTTTCTCCACTTCTGGAGAGTTTCTGGCCACGTTTTCCCCACCCATGTTCTCCAACTTATACAAATCCTCACTTTGGTTTAGCATGAGGATGTACCTGTTCAATGATTGATTGATTGATTATTGATTATTTTATTAAACTATTTCTCCTCTTTCCCCTCTCGCTTCCTCTTCCAGCTATCAAAGTGAGCTGCATAGGTTTTTGCGGGGTGTCCAACAAAATGAATGACGCGACTTGGACGGTGGAGGAGCAATACTTCAACACCACTCTGTCCCTGGCAGATAAAGGTAAGATGGAAGCAAAGCAATGGGATGGAAGAAGTGGGTGCGGGTGTTTCCCTGCCAGAATTTGTTCAGGTGACTGGGATTTTCCTGGGAAGGCAAAAGTTGGATGCTACCCAGTGCTTCTCACGTTTTATTAGCCCTAGCTTTGCATGCCTTGAGGCTAGAGGTGGGCAACTTGTGGCCCATGGTTGGTGATGGCCCACACCTCCCTTCGGCCATTGCAAACATAGTTCAGGGATTCACAGATATAGCGTGTTTAGTCTGTAAAATCAGTATGTAAAAAGAGATCTTGTCGTACCGTTGAGACTAACTGAAAGAAAGAAGTTGGCAGCATGAGCTTGACGATAGTGTTATAATAATTGGAGAGCTCTCCTGATTCCCTGGGTGCTCAATTGTTTTTGATTCTTTCTATTATTATTATTATTATTATTATTATTATTATTATTATTATTATTATAGTTCAGGAACAATAGTGTTTTAATAATTGGAGAGCCCTCCTGATTCCCTGGGTGCTCAATTGTTATTGATTCTTTCCATTATTATTATTATTATAGTTCAGGGACCATAGTGTTATAATAATTGGAGAGCCCTCCTGATTCCCTGGGTGCTCAATTGCTATTGATTCTTTCCATCATCATCATCATCATCATCATCATCATCATCA